GTCATTGTTTATACATCCACTACTGGCAGGAGCAGAAAAAGCCACACAAATCAAGTACCGGTGTCTAAAATCAAATGTACGTCAACTTAAATCCTAGACTTCTGTTAAACTGATAAATTATTCAGCCTTCTTACACATTTAATAATGCTTTGAAACAGGTCCCAGAAAATATTTGCATATAAAATGCAATTAGAGAAATAAATAAAGCCTTGGTAGGAGGCTACTCGGGCTAACTCTGATAAAAGGAGTCAAAGCAAGCTGTCTGTCCTACTGGTTCCTTCCTGAGTCACTCTCTTCAAAGGGACATTCTTTGGGGGTTGGCCTTCACTATGGCAGGAGTCGCCTTAATTCCTGGAGAGTGAGCTGGGCTTGATTTATCAGCCAGAGGGCTTGACGAAATCTGCCTTTAGTATCCTTAACTGTTTCTTCCTAACCTTTGCACAGAAAGATCTCCTTGGGAGAAAATCTTTTATTTGACTCTATCCCCTAAAAAGTGAAAAGTGTGTGCATGTGTGTGTGTGTGTGTGTGTGTGTGTGTGTGTGAGAGAGAGAGAGAGAGAGAGAGAGAGAGAGAGAATTGCATTTGGATCATTAACACCCTTGAAGATATCTCAGAAGATCGTACCAACCAAATGAAAACGTAGAAGAAACACTGCCCGTTCTTCAAAGACAGTTAACAGTTGACAGAGTTTGATCCGGCAAAAACCCGAGGCCATGTGGTGTTCAAAGAAATACTGCCATCTACTGGTGGATCTAGAAGCCACTGGACTCTTCCAAGGGCCACCTTTAGCTGTTTGGGAGTGAGGGGTGGGATTAAGACACAACAGATACAACTCAGAACGATTCCTAGTAAAAATGAATGCATTATGACATTAAGACTACTTCTGAATTTTTCTACGATTTATTATAGTCTTTTTATTTACTAGATATTTAAGTATTGACTAAATCCCTACGCTAGTAACATTTAGCCAGTGAGACCCAAAGTCAAGGGAAGAGCAAAATGAACCAGATTCCTTTCTAACATTTTATGATCCCCAAAAGTACCTCTTCAAAAACAGTGCTTCAAAAAGGCAGCAAGAACAATGGTAAATGATATGGCTTAGGCAGAAGATAGACCTGTGTTCAGATCCAGGAACCTCCATTTAGCTTTGTCATTTCTATCACTGAATCTCTCTGAGTCTCTGAAGAAGATTAAGAATACTTACCCTGAATGACCATTAGAGGCAACTGACACGAAATGCCTACTCCCATTACTTAATATTTGAAGGACAGGAACTATCCTGGGACCATTTTGCTCTTGACTGACCAAGCCATGATTTAGGAGAGTGCTTCTCAAACCTTATGAATCGCCAAGGAACCTCATTAAAATGAAGGTTCTGATTCAGCCAATCAGGGGCAGATACTGATGTGCCAAGTTTCTACCAGGCTCCCAGGTGCGGCTGCTGCTGCCGGTGGTGGATACAATACTGAGGAGCAAAGATCTATGGGGTCCGACGCCCTCTGGTGGTAAGGAGTGTTGAAATGGCCTCTATCAGTTGTCTTCCTCTGAGAAATTTTTAAAATGAGGGTAAACAGTTCTGAAAACTTCAATCATTCCATTACATGCATGAGGAGTGCCTAAGGAAGCTCTGGGAAAAGATGAATTTGGCCGATGTAGAAAAACTGAAAACTTCATTCCCATCCCTTACCAACTTATGGATTCCACTTCTCATGTTTGGGTTCTGAATCAAAACGGCCCCCATAAGATGGGTTTGGCGAATTAATAGCCCAGCAGCTAATTGTACCTCGAGGCTTTCTGCAGAGTCTGGCAATGGTGAGCTATTAAGATCATGGAGCTTGGAGTCACAGGCGAGTTTGTATCCTGGCTTTGCCACTGGACATCTATAAGGTCTTGGGCAAGTTTTTAAAGTTGTGTAGGCCTTAGATTTCTCAGAGAATATTGTGAAAGTTAAACAAGATAATATAGACCAGACCATTCCACGCAGACTGCTCAGTAGATGGTGGTATTATTATTGTTTTCATGATGAAACAGCACAGCTTCCGCTTCACCCACATTTCTTAAATACAGTGCTGCAACTTAGGGAATTGACTGTGACTTGATCAGCGTGGCCGATCGATAAGGCGCTGTTAAGGGCTTGGAGAACGTGGGTTCAAGTCCTGACACTACTACTTTCTGGGGGTGATGCTGGGCAAGCCACAATCTTTCAGAACCTCCCTTTAACTGTCAAAGGAAGACTGCGAACTAGATGATAGTCAAGATTCTTCTTTTCTTTTTAATTAGAGCAGGCAGTGAGACGTCACGGAACGAGGTTTTGAAGGAAGCAAGATGCAAATTTAAATCCCAGTTCTACCACCAGCTGGGATGACTTCAGGCAAAGTTATATAATATCTCTGGGCCTCGGCATCCAACTGCACAACAGAGAAATTATAACTTATTTGGGTGGCGTGAGGATCAGAAATGTTAGTTGAGCTTCTGATGGATAATAAGACCTCATAATCAGACCCTGCTGATATCGATGGGAAAAACCTTATTCTCTCAATCTGGAGACCTGATCCCTAAAGCTCCTTCTTCTTCTGACTTCTCTATGTAGATACATGACATTTTAGGTATATCCATTAATATCCTCGAACTGGCAAACTACAAAATGGAGCCAGGAGGTGTGGCCCTACCTCTTGGTCAGTGTGTGAATCAGGTTTTTAAAAAATCGTTATTATCGTAACCAGTTAAATTGTGTTATAAAGTATTTTTACACGCACGTGGTTTTTCAAAGTACAAAGAATGCTTTCCTTATGTATTATCGCAATTATTTTGTTCAACAATGTCATAAGGTAGGGAGAATGGGTATTTTTGCCTTTTTTTTTTTTTTTTTACAAATAGTGGAACAGAGGTTCAGAGAGATTAAGTAACTTGTTTAAGACCATGGAGTTAGCAAAAAAAAAAAACGAACTCGGGTATCCTCATTCTCTCAGAACTTTGTGGAGCGAAAAGTACTCTTTAAGTGAGAAAGTGAAAATGTTCCATGTTTTCACTCCGAAAGCTACAACCTAACATTGAATGACTGTGACTTGATCAGCCTGAGTGATGGATAAGGGCATTGCTTGTGGGCTTGGAAGACGTGAGTTCGAGTCCTGCCACTACTACCTTCTGGGGGTGATGTTGGGCAAGCCAGTCTCTCATTTTAACTGTCAAAGGAAGACTGAACTAGATACTAGCCAAGATTCTTCTTTTCTTTTTAACTAGTTTTACAATTAGCGGTCATTGCCAGAGGAAGAGAGAGAAGATGAGATGTAAGAATATAATATACTCTCCATTTTAGATAAGCTCGTCCTTGAATGCTGGGGACCTACGCCATTCAAGGGGTTGTCCAACATCCAAACTACCCTCTGACTAGCACCCTATTCTCCCCTTTCCAGAAATGAGAAATCTTTCTTTTTGACCAGAACTTTTGTCTCTAGATCACCGAGCAGTCAGCGAGCCAAGACACAGCTCTGACTTCAGAGCCTTGAGGAGTGTCAGGGAAGCCGAGGGAGATGGCTAGAGTTCACAGTCATGGCCTCATCACTGATGACTGTGACTAGATTACAGTGTGACCTCTTGTATAGTTCCTGCTGTCTAGCGTTCTCATGCTTCTGTATTTCTTAGCTGTTTTCCAAGCCTGATTCCTCAGCCCCCTATCATGCCAATAAACTCCATTTATGTTTAAGAGAGCCAGATTTGGGTTCTGTTGCTTGCCACTAAGACCTCGACTAACTGCACAAGAGATGAGCATACCCTTTGCATTTTTTCCTTTGCTAAACCTACCACCGACATTCTCGTGAAGAGCTGAGCCAACGCAATTCAAACCATCGTCATAACTGCAACGTACATGAGTCGCTAAGACAGGCAAAGCAAGTAATTAAAAAGTAGTTATCCTTCTTCTGAAAATTGTAATTTGAATGTCACTTTATTCTCTGTAAATCAAGCATTCATGACCCTTTCTAAAAATGTACCACCACACTGATAAGTGACAATCTGTTCAATAAGATATATTTATGTACATGAATGCTACCTTACAATACCATGAGTGTAGTTGAAAAGTGCTATCTGCTTCATAAATTTAGAACTTCATTTCCTAAATGTCAAGTGTTTATTACCTGGAAAAAGGAAAGGAAAAATAACTCTACCTTTTAAACGTGCTCTGTAGCTTTGATGAGACGTTTTAAGGACGATTAGTTGTCTAAATAGAAACGGCATTTTAGAGAGGGGAAGAATGTGAAAGATTGTTCTTTAGTTTAAGATTACATCCTTTACCTTGCAATAAAGTTGTAAACTCAAGCGGGCATTTTGCTCTTAGGTTATTCTAAATTATCGTCTCTTTCTCTCTCTAAAGTTCCTTCTTAGCTTTAAAGACAAATATGCATGTGAAAGCACCGAGCCCAGGGCCAGGCTCCAGTGAGGGCTTAATAGATGAGATTCCTTGGCTTTCTTCTTTGACTTAACAGAAAATTCTAAGTCTGTAATCTGAAGGTTAAAAAGGTATCTCATACTGTGGTTCCTGGAAATGGCATTTGTCAGAGGGGAATAATCATTTTGAAAAAAAAAAAAAATTCTGCTCACGATTTTCAGAAGGGATAATAAAATAAAAGATATATTTGTTTTCTATCTCTGGCAAACTGGCAAACTATTCCTCATCTGATTTCTTTTTCATCCTTTCTGCTTTACTTTAAGACGCCAAGGACTAGAAATATCGAATTGTCTAGAGGTCAGCTTCAGAGCTTCCAGGCCTCAGAGAAGTTCAGTTGGTTTTTGCAGGATGGTTTGTGAAGTGGATTGTTCAGGGCAGTCTTTCCTCAATTGTCTCCTTCGTTTTTACTTTTGTTTGGCTCTGCAGGGTCTCGGGTGTAAACGGGCTCAGAGCT